TTTTTTGTTGTCTTACTACGCTTAAAAGTTGGACTTTTTGTACGTGACATTTCTGAACGATTCAATATTTCACAAGGACACTTTTCAAAAGTCTTTACAACATGGATTAACTTCCTATATCATGAGCTGCCCAATTTATTCCCATTTCCATCCCAAGAACTGATAAGAAAAAATTTACCCAACTCATTCAAGCCTTATCCCTCCACAAGAATTATTCTTGATTGCACGGAAGTGTTTGTTGAAGTACCGTCAGCAATGTTAGCACAGTCGGAAACATGGTCGAACTATAAACACCACAATACATTTAAAGCACTTGTTGGGGTGAGTCCAAATGGAGTCGTCACATTTGTGTCAGAGTTGTGGGGGGGTCGAGTGTCGGACAAAACAATTACCAAAGAAAGTGGTGTTTTGAATCTGTTGGAACCCGGTGATAATGTTATGGGGATTTGAAATCACAGACATTCTACCAGCAGGAGTTGCTCTTAACATACCGCCATTCAAGGGATCTAGAAAACAGCTTTCATCTAAGGAGGTGGATGATACGATGAACATTGCCTCGGTTCGAATCCACGTTGAGCGTGCCATTGGAAGGATAAAAAACTATCATATATTGGATGGAGTATTGCCACTTAGCCTGAAGCACATCAGTAGCCAGATGTTCTTTGTCGTAGCATTCCTGACCAATTTCTTACCACCATTAGTGCCTCCAGGAAAAAGTTCAGAATGAGAAATCAGAGACCCTAAGGTAGAGAGTCCCACTGCTCTGTGTACATGTTGTCTAGTAAAAGCTGGTTAACTTATAAATTGATCAGGAAGCTGCCTTTACGATTGAGCTACCGGTCATGGTATTAATTTCTGCAGCATTACTGGGAAAAAATGAAATAGTCTTTACTTACTTATATATATATATACTGTGACCTATAATTATCTTGTAGGAATATTGAGAAAATAACATAAATTTACAGGAACATATAGCTGTCTAATGCCTAGATAGTAAAATTAAAAACATTAGAAAATTGAAGAGAAGTAGTGGGACTCTCTACCTTTAGTCAACTCAAATTGACCGATCGGCCATATGTACGGTATATATATGACTTGGCCATGCCACTCAGACTGTGGACAGGGCAAACAGTGACGCATACTTCTTTGTATAATTGTTATACAGACAGATCAACCAAATGTTTTATTTAATCTGTATCCACATGTTCGCTTTGTTAGGTCTACACAGCTGTACGTGAGCATGTTGAATGTACATGCCTGGTTTATGTTTGTCAAAGCACACTTTAAAAAAAAAATAGGAATAAATTATGTTCCTAAAATTTACCTGTTTATCTTGGTTTTCCTATATCTGCACCTTAAATAAGCCGATAAATGGACAAATCGTACAATGAATAGTCGGTTGTAGCCTTCTTGCACATTTACTTACAGTAGGTAGGCAAAATTCTAAAAAAAAAGTTGTTTTCGCTTTCGGCCCTAAAAAGAATATGGTCAGTATAAGTCGAAAATTATTACATGTATATTTTGTAATATATTTTTGGTTTGGAAAAAATGTACGTATGTAGCCCCAAAAAATGTGTGTCGGTAGTGACCGTACTGAAAGAAAGCGAAAACACAATTTTTGTTTGTGTCAATATGGGTATTTCAGTCTTTTTTTCAACTTTGAACACTGTTACGTAATAAGTACACAATCATGTATGCATTTGTTAATTTGTTTATATTTGCAAATACATATTTCTTAAAGAACTCCAGTTAGAATGGAGAAGCATGCCTTTCTTGACTCGCCCCGTTAATAGTTCAGGAATAAACGCCCACTTGTAGAAGAAGTCCAGGGCAGGGAGGTACATACTATACCACTTTTCCTCGTCAAATACAATTCGTTCAGTGAAGATGTCCTGATCAGGTCCAAACCACACCACAAAGTCTACATACATCATTTTTGTCGCAAAGAGCTGTCCCTGGATTTGAATGAAGTAGTTATGATTTTTTTTAAGTTTTATATCTCCATTTTCATCTTTATATAAATAAAATGTTTTACACTTACAAGCCTCTTCTATAGACTTGCCACGCTGACTGAGTGGGCATTTACATTCCAGACCTGTGCGTCTTCCATCGCTATGTTTCACAATGCCATCAAGACTGGCACCATAACCCGGCCTTTCTGTCGACATAAAAATACCAGACTTTTCAACCTGGATATTTTCATGTCGAGTGGAACAGAGTTTAGTATACATATTAATTGCATCTTGTTCGTGGTCTTTGCCATACTGAAGATATTTTGACGATGGTTTGTCATATAACATTGCTTTTACCAATCCATTTGGACATCTGGAACATTTGACAATCCTACCAAAATTTGATGCCGTCATTTTACATCCATGTAATTGCTTCCACAGGTCATTCTCTGATTGAAGTTTTGTAGCTGATTCAATGTTATTTATATCCTCCTGTGTAATGGTTTCATTTTCAACAATGCTGTTCACATACTTAGCTACAAAATCTGCATTTATGTTTTCATCATCAACGATATTGGAATTTTCTTTTACAAAATCAATATTTGGTACATTCACTATATTCTCTGGAGCATCTACATATACTTCTACATTTAAAATAACCTGTTCAGTTTCAATATACACATCCTCACCTGGAACAATAAGTAACCTGAGAAGGGAGCAAACTCTTTCAGGTTTGTATGCAAAATATCCAAATCATTGTTATCCGATGTTCTGTGTTGGGGAGCTCTAGGATCAAACACACTACTCTGATTAAATGTTTTTGATAATCGATTTGATCCAAACTGTATTTTCTCAACTTTTATTTCTTTGACAGGTTTTGGGGGTACAGTAAGGTTTCGGGGGACAATCCAACCATTCAGCTTACTTGTACATGATACCTTGGCCGTGTTAGAATGTAAGCCATTGGCATAAAAACTGTTGACTGCAAAGAGTACTCCACCAATGTGGTTGCATTTACCATGTTCATTCATACATAATCTGTTAAAAACAAAATGTAAATAATTTAAAAAATGTATACACTATTGTAAATATAATAAAGATTTTTTTTTCCATTATTAAATAGTACTGTAGGGGGATAACATACATAACAATGCCATTGCTAGTTATATTATACAATACAGATAAGGAACGTATTGATATATTCCAGAAGAATGAAGTGTAAAAACACTGCCAAACTAAATTAGAGATCATATGTTATTTGGTGTCGCACGATAGCCTGACTGTGTAAATAAATAAATAAATAAAATACCCTGTGTAATGGAAGTCACTGGCTTCAATTTTAGGACAGAATAATAAATAGCATAGCTGAATATCACTCAGTGACGTCACAGCTGAATATCAGTGACTTACCCAGCAGGACATCCACATGCTGCATACCTCACATCCCCATTGCTATGGAAAACAACCATCACATTGTATTTAGTCTTCTTAATTGAGGCAATGCCCTTTGATTTTATCCACGTATGTCCTTGCCCCCTCGCGACTTCAACATTCGACACGTGCCCTTCCATGAAAAATTGGTAAGATTTTAACTTTTTGTAGCAGGAACCTTTCATTGAGGGGTCGTCATATTTGTTGGTGCGTGTAACCAAATATTCATGAAGTTGGTTGAAATTAAATTCGACCATATTTCTCAAGTCATCACTCCATATGCGAGCTTTAGCGGACAAATTCAACTGTTCGTATGTAATTTCCTTATCGTCAGTACCAAATGTAAACGGGCCACTAGAGGCTGCGTCAGCATCGGGTACATCAATAGCAAGCTTCGTTTTTACCGACAGACACCTTGCCACTAGCACAGACTTGTTCCCAGTGATGCTTTTGTTATGGTCTCGCAAAATTTCCTTCAGATCAACTACCCTAAGCTGACGGAAATCGTCGACTCCAAGATGTAAGATTGAATTCTTTGGCGCCGTCATTATTGACATTGGATACCACCGGAAGTACCCTGAGCCTCGTTATCGTAATTTTCAAGGGGAATAACTCTGAATTGCCGTGGTTATTTACGAATGTGAAACTAGACTATTAACATAACAATATCGTTACAGCTAAACCGATATCATGATAACGTGATTCGATAGTTAAGAAAGGGTCATGTACAGATTGTCATTTGAGTTAAGATGGTTAAGATTTCAATGTTCTGTGTCTCATTTATTAAATATAGATTAATTACACAGCATTAACAAAACCTAGGAAAACACAAACAGAAATCAAACCCGAACGCAAAGTCGATAACATTAAGGCATTGATGATCAAACGGGAAATTGACATTACAAATAATAATTAATCATTTCTTTATACAGTCATGTCCTTTAAGTGAGAACCGGGCAAGCACCAACAAAACAGCAGGACACACTTATGAATATAAAAAGCATTAACCTTCATAAGGCGCTAGCGAATAACATATTTTCTTATATTTTCTTGTCTCCCTTCTTCAGCTTAGTAAACTCTGACTGCGTATAAATTAGCGTATACGCGGTGAAAAAATAAGCTCGGCGGATTGATACTTGTTTCAAATTGTTCAATGGAATTGGTCATATAACGAACCAAAAACGTCTTGTTTAAACACGTTATATCTAGTGTATAAATTTCGCGATAAACAACGTGTTTTGCTGTTTAACAGGTAATTTACACAAAACTCATAAAGATGACGTGTAACGATTTTTTCTCACTCGATGCATGTCGATGGTAAACAGTAACGTACTGAATTGCTAAATTCATCACATATCGATAACAGTTGAATATTAATCATTTTCTTGCTTAATTCTTACATTATATATATATTGACGATTCGACTTGTAAATATGTTCAATATAATGGCTGCGATACATGGCTGTTGATTAACTCGTTATTTGTCGATGACAGTGATAAAAAAAAATTGGGAAAACATAGGAGATAGAAAACAGCAGAATACCATAAACAATCTGAAACGGGAATAATTGGGATTATTATTTAACAAATAATCCATTTTAAACAAGCATTGGAGATGGTTTGTGTTTGTAGACACGTTAGCACGTTTGACGGGATCGGTGATCACGTCCCTCAAAAACTTAAGGAGAAAATTTGTGCGGGGGATTCCTTTTTCGGTATAAGGTTACTGTTGAAATCTGCACGTGATTTGAAGGAAGAAATGGACCAGACTGGTGGGGAGGTAGTCATGAAAAAAAGGAAACTGGTGATTAAAAAACACCTATCGATTAAACCTATATACAATATCCACCTCTGGACCAGTGCTTTTATTGTCTACATGAGCATCATGTTGGAAAAGTATCCCGGGAAAGGGAAAGCCCAAGAGATGCTTAAGTACATGAGGGACATAAGACTCCTGCAGGCAGGTCTGGATCCTCCTGGGTTCGTTATGATGAACAGTATAGGTTGAAGAAGATTAAATACCCTGAATCATCCTAGGGATCCATAGATAATGAGTTGTTGTTGCTGTATATCAGCTCTTAAAGAGGAGAGAATATCCCTATTCATCGCACCTCTCCATGTAACGATGATAGTGACGTCACGTTCGACGACCGTGACGTCATCAAAAGCTTCCCGTACGACTCTGACAAGCTCAGACATTGACGACACACTCTTCATCACCGAATCACAAGACAAGCTTATAGAGTCTATCCAACTTCCTCCGCCAACAACAATTAATACAACACCAAGTAGACATGGACAGTAAGGAACGACAAAACATAGCAAACAACAAGGAGCGCATTAGGAAACATCATCGCCAAAGAATGTATAGACAACGACGTGCAAGCGGCAAGTATTATTATACACTACCCTGTAAGTATTTTGTCCAAATATAATCACTTACTTTTCTCTTTTATCATACCGTTAGCTTATGTATTATTGTGAATTGTCTACGTGTTTTTAGTTCAAACAAGGAGGCAACACCACCTGCTACAACACCTTCCAGAGCACTGATACACTCACTTCCTACACGAAAAAAAGGTTATCTCAATTTAATACCACCCTCAAAAACATTGTAAATATGCCGTGAATTTATATTGTAAAAAAACGTATATTATAACTATTTATTGTTATTGAGCCAATGTACAAGGAATAGTGATTTTCATTTCTTTATTTGTTTTTTTTTCACGTCTTACAAGGGTTCGCATGTCTGTCAAGCAGCGAAGAGAGAGAGAGAACGTCCATGGAGGAAATAACTGAAATCAGAAGGTAAAAAAACAGAAACAAGTGGAGCTATTTCTGTCAAAATGACGTCACACTCAATATACACATCTGTTGAAAACAGGGGGTGACAATTCAGTCGGTAACACTAAAATTGATGACGTCACAGCAATACACACGCATGATGAAGTCATGACGAGGTTTGTGGGGTTGCTAAGGCGCCATCTTCGATCCAAGATGGCGGATTTCCATAGCAACCCCACCCTCCATCCTCATGACTTCATCAAAGACTTACCCAATAAAGGTTTCGGTAGCTGAAAGAGACTTACATAATCATAGACATGAAGTGGTCGTTTAGATACGTGGATTGATACTTGTGTTTTTATGTTATTTTTAGTAAATATATACATTTGTAAATGTTTCTGAATAATAATCGTGACGCGATTCGATAATAGTCACTGATTCTGATCTTGTCATGACTGACTGTACATGTAGCACCGCGGATTCGTGCACATATATGAAAAAAATGTGGTGTTTTCAGAAAAGGCATGAAACAGAAAGAGAAACCTTTCAATATTCTTTTCAGATATATTTAAAAAAAAAATAACGTTTTTCAGTGTTGGGCGGACAGAATTAATTGCCGAATCAGAATAGTGGTAGGTTTATCATTGATGAGATAGATGTTAATAATAATCCTCAGAGTAAAATTGTATAAATAACTCTTTCTGAATTTTAATTCAGTTGCATAGCAAATAAGTAAGTCGGGCATCACGATGAAAGTTGAAGAAAAAACCAATACACTGATGACTCGGAAATAATTTTTTTAATTTGTAAGAAAAAATGAAATTTATCTTCGCTTCGATACGATTTATATTTGCAGGTGTTGATACTTGGTAGTTTAACAACGGAATCTTGATTTTCGAAGGGATTTGTCTTGGCATGTCACACATAGACTTGATCTCCACTGCACTGAACGATCATAAAGACCCAGTTTGTTTGGAACAAAAACAGGAATTGAAAACTTATTTTGCGAGCTTTTGCAAACGTCTGTTTCCTTTGTCAAGCAGCGAGTTAAATGAACGGTTTCTCGACTCTAGACCGCTGGAAACATTTCACTAAGCTATAATGTGCCTAATCAGTTAAATTTGTTTTGTCAGGTTGGTATTTGTCAAAGACTTCATTTTAATTGCTGATTCGGCATATTTTGGAAAGACATTCTGGATAGACAATGGTCTAGAGAGATGTGTGGAAAATAAAATAATCAAACGAGAAATCATCAATTCAACTGTCTGATATGCTGATATTCCATTTACAACATAACTTAATGCCATGACGAGGCACATTCTTCTGTTACATAATCTACCTCTAGGAATTTCCATTAAAACCACCCATTACAAAATGACAAAGCGTATTCACAAATTTCATAATTCAGACATAATCTCTCTTTGCTTACTGATATTCTCAGGCGATATACAATCATTTATCATAAAGAGTCTTTAATACTGTTCAACAGGAAATCCTTGTTACTGTAGAATTAGTGACGAGTACTAATTATACGTACCAAGGTGAATACTTTCCCACCGGTGATAGAGACCGAGGTTCGAGAGGAGAATAACGCATTGTACGGATAGCCAGTCGTCCTAGCTCACAGAACAGCTGAACAGTATGGTTATTTCTATATTTCAATTAGATTTATTCTTTGTTGCAAATGATAGTACCCTCATGAGACAGAGGAATTCAGTCCCGCGGCTCATTTACCTGTTTACACTTGCAGTGGAGGTTTTTGGTTGAGTGTTGGTCTGTTGGAAAGTAATACATGCACACGCATGTTCTATCGTCCATTAATACATGGTTACCTCATGCATTCAAACATGAAGTGTCATTATATCGAAAAAGTAAGATGTACATTAAATGCGGTCAGACACAGCACAAGTACACGGTCTCATGAACCAATAGAACTGCGAGAATGAATGAGGAAGTGGTTTCCAGGTTTGACATACGTAATCAATAATAATACAAAACATGCCATGTTACAAACCACATATTGAACATGTCGTAACTAAATTGAAACATCAATAGATTCAACGAGTTGTTTACTGACTACGTAATCGACAGAAAGGGTTCGTTAAAAATACACTTATAAAAGTTAAGAAACGACTCGTATTTTTGTCACTATGTTCAGTTTAGCGCTAGAGACACTCGAAGTAAAGTTGTCGTTCGTGCCACAAGGATATGTATATTATAAGTGACATAAAGTCGAATTGTTTTCTGGTTAATATTACTGCTAGCTATGAGCCAGTGAGACAATAAAAACAAAATTCGAAAGTTTTGAACCTTTTGATAGATACGGACTCTGGCGGCTAACAAGTCGTATCTCTATTTGTAAAAGTATCGATTGTTGAATGTCCTATGTTTGTTTAAGACAATCAATATCTAAACACCCGTGCATAGTCTCGTAAAAATGTCTGAGGTAATATTTAAGGGTGATATATATTGATTTTTGTTTTCATTGGATGGTGCGCCTTCAACGCTTGCTGTCAAGGGCATTGATGTCCTGCCATCGATTCATTTGAAAGTGATGAATACAGAAAAGGATAAACTAAAACAGAAAATGTGAAGGGAGTTTCTTAATTTTTGAGTGATGCTGATGATAGCTGACAAAGTAACAGGTGTAGGCGCTGATAGATAATAAACTATCTCAGAGACACAGACTGGGAGTTCAGTACAGCTCGGAAAGGTAAGGAACGAATAGGAACCATTTTTTCGCTTTAAAGCTTCATCTATTTTCTATAAAAATCATTACATTTTGGAGGAAATAAACAAAATCAATTTAATGGAAACCCTTTACACATTGGAAGGTAAAACAACAACATTTTAATTAAACAAGACTTTTTTCTTACGAAGTTCCCAAAGCAGTACGTTACTGTTGTCATGATCATTCTTGTTGTATGATAAACGAACAACATTCAATATGACTCCTTTGAATCAAAAAGTGTCTTGGACGGAATATCTGTAAACTCAAAGGGGGAAAATACAGATTTTTTTCAAGAGTGATTTTATTGCATCAGTTAAGAGGATTTAAATACAATTTTCTAAAAATTGCATCAATTTGAAATGGATAAAGGGTTTGTCGAAAAAAACATATTTGTATTACATTGTAAATTATGAAAATGAATAAAAATGATAAAATTTATAAACGCTAAAGGCGAAAAGCACAAAGGTTGTTCACCTTTTATATCATTAATAAAATTTGTTTTTCGGTAAATCATTACTTAGGTTTTGTTTTGTTTGGTTTAATTAAGTTTAACGTCCTATTAACAGCTAAGGTCATTTAAGGACGTGCCTCCATGTGCGAAGTGTGTGCGTGTTTGCGTATGCATATGCAGGAGACAGGATATGTTGGTGTGCTTGCTTCCTTGTGTTAGCGCTGATCTGATGCCGACTTTATAGCGCTATCTCACTCAAATACCATGCCGAAGGCAATAAGCACAGCATTCCGCTCGGTCACATTATACTGACAACGGGTGAACAAGTTGTTGCCCTTCCCTTTAATGATGAACGTTAAGCAGGGAATAGCAACTACCATTTTTAAGGACTGGTATATAATGGCCTTGGTACAGAACTTATTGCCTTCCTCACCTAGGCGAACACTCAACATTCAAGCCAAAATTAAGGTGTTGCCAAGCAAGTTGCTAGGAAATAAAAGGTAGTTAGAAGTAGAAATAAAGATAAAGATCCCGTTATTTAGGTCAGTGAAAAATACGAAAAAATCACGAGAAAGGTTGGGTTCCTGACGGCAAATATCTTTGTTGAGTTGTTGGCAAACTATTCTAGCAAATTGTTGGCGTACCTCTGATTACAAACTGAGCACGACAGGTAACTAAAGCCTTGTCAAATCCTTCAATTTAACTTTCAGATATATCGGCGATATTTTGTCATTAATAATCCCCGTACTGATGCCTACATATAATCGATTTTTGCCAAGCATGACTTAATCTTTGATAAATAATACCCGCAAAAAAATCTATACTCCGCAGGACTTTCAAAGAAAAAATATGAATTGAAATAAGCAATATTTAATCAACAATAATGCTCTGTGAGTTTAAGTACAGTTGGGCTAGACTGAGATTCGAACTCTGGAACTCCGTGTGTTATACGCCCCATTAACAGCTGAGGTAATTTAGGGACGTGCCTCTGTGTGTTTTGTGTATACGTACATGTGTGTATGTGTGCTGGAGACAAGGTATGGTGGTATACTTGCCTCCTTGTGATAGCGCGGATCTGATGCCGACTTAATAGTGCTATCTGAATTAAATACAATGCCGAAGACACCTACCACAGCATCCCGCCTGTTCACATTATACTAACAACGGGTGAATCAGTTGTTGTTGCCATTTCCCTTAAAGCTGAACGTTTAGCAGGTAAACAACAACCATTTTAAAGACTTTGGAATGTCCCGGACTGGGGACAGAACCTATTGCCGAGTGAATCACTAGAAAATATAAGGTAGTTAGAAGTAGTAAGATCCCAAATGTTGAAATGGGTGCAGCAGAATTATTTTAATCGCTTTTTAGGGCACAAATGCAATTCTCCATTTCTGCAGGCAGTTTTCTCATTAGTCACCCCTTACAATACATGTGTGAAAGTTGCGAGTATGATAAAACCTGGCCAAGTGGCTGCGTAAATTATATTGGTAAAAGCTTGAATGAAGTGGTTATAATAAAATTATCAAATAAACATGTATCTACCGTGTGTGTTCGAAATATGTGTTACCTCTGCTTTTGGGACTGTGTGTTGTTATCACGGCTCTTATTCTATTTAACTGCCTTCCATACTTTACTTAACTGTGTTCTGAATGGATAATCCCTCCACATAACGTCTTATAACTTGAAAACTTCAGGTCAACATACCATAGCTCAGTTAGAAGAACTCTCTACAATCGTTTTGATCCAGGACCACTGGCTTTTTGACTTTGAACTCGATAAGCTATCTCATTGTGATGCAAATTTAAGATATGCTGGCAAAGCCGTCGATTCCGGCAACCCTATTTCACCAGTACAGAGGCCCCGGGGATACGGAGGTGTAGCAATCTTATGGAACTCGAACATTGAGCAGCTGGTACAGATAATCAACGATGGTAACAACAGAACTCAGGTCATTAGAGTGGCATATATTCCGAAACCATTTATTGTCATTAACGTATACATGCCGTGTAGAGGGAAAACAATCAGTAATGAGGAATTTCAAGAAACACTTGACCAACTATCCGAAATCTTAGACGAAATAAGTATGATTGTAAGATCATTGTGGCGGGATAGCTCTACACGGATATTACTAAGGGTTTGTCGACAATACGAACAGATGCCCTGAAAGGATTCATCACTGATCACGACATTTTCTACGAGGCAACAGATGTCACCTGTATACTTTCCAACCGGCAGGATAGCTCAACTATCGATTATGTTCTTTACTCAAAAGGACTGCACCATGGGTAGCTGGACACAAGGTTAAATGAGGCTTTGCTTAAGTCATAGGCCTCCAGTTTCCCGACCAACAAGTTAGGAGGAAGACAGTCAAAAACCTTGGGGAGGTCCATCAGTATGGCGGCGACATACTCATGGTTGCCAAGGGCTCTACGCCAATCCTCACGAGACATAACAGGGTGGATTGACAACTAAATCCTGGTCGGAAGGCTGCAAGGAAAGGATGAAAAACATTAGTAAAAAGGCAGTCAGTTGATCACACATGGTTCTTTGAATTTCAAAAACCCATTCCAACTAATGTCATTATGAATCATGCAAAAATGTTCATCTACCTTAGCTCACAAAAGAAACGAAACCCTAGCATGACTGATTTAAAAAAAAAAAAATGTACACGAGATTGACAATGTAATAGCCCAAGGGAGGGATAAAATTGAGACCTTTGAAAAAACAACGGAATCATGGTCAAATATTTTCATACTTTAAAGCTAAAAATGTTACGAGCCTATAATATCCTATTTTAAATCCTCTATTGGTAAAGAAATGAATAAACATAGCAGACACCCGAGAATACTCAAGAACTATATAATATATATAACAACAATTAAGTATATATTTACATATAATTAAGATATGATATCCTTCTATCTTTTATATAGTACTGAATATTCTAAAGTATATATGTGTATATATAGGTATATGATATTCTATATGCAAAATGCGGTGAGATAAAACTGATGATTGACATATAATCTTATAAAATTAAAAAGAGATCACATGAAATATAGTTATGTGCATGCATGTTTATTTTGTTTATGTATGTACGGATGGGTATACTTGCACATTCTTAGGCATGGTCATATGTATGCATTCTCGATAGCAGGAGAGAGGAGTTGCTGGAACCTTACAAAACGTATGTATGGCTCATCATTGGTTTCGGTGCGGTAGGTGTTTCTTCACGGCCTGTTACATCTAACTGTATCTACACGAGAATGCTTTAAACAAACAAATCATAACCATGTACTTCAATCTTCATTCTATCTTAGTGGTCGCCTGTCAAACGCATGAGAGTAGTAAAGGTTGACGATTGTGTTTTATTACGTTTAATTTATTACATGCAATATACTTAAAGTCCACAAAAAAAAAAAATGAAAATGTGCAATTATAGAATCTGTTTTGATATGAATAACATATTTCGTATATACAGTAACCCCGTTTAATTTCCGTTTTGATATAACAGTAGCATAGCTGGGTTAGGATACCTCCGTTTGCTAGCTACTGTAGCTCAATCGGTACGAGCGAAAGGATATCAAGCCAGTGTACGAATCCCGGTCTAGCTCGCAAATTTGTTTTACTTTCATAACACTGTTGGTGTTTATATTTTTTATTAAAAAGTCCCGAAAGGTAAGGTATAAGGTTTCTTATCCGAAGCTACAGTTTTTGGAAGTAGCATTTCGCTCAGCAAATACTGCTTTTGTTCATAGCTTCCTTTCAATATTTATTTTTTAATATATTTCACGTTTCTTTTCAAGACATCATAATAATCCGGAAATGGAGGTTTTAGCAGAACCGCAAGACATCAAACTGAATAGGTAATGCTCTCTCTTGAAATGTGTTTATTTTTTTTTAAATAATGTTTCTGTAGTTTTACAAAATATTTTGTTTTCGCATAATGCGGCACGGTAGTCTAGTGGTATGACGCCGGGTTCAAGGCCGAAGGGATACGGGTTCGAGTCACGTCACGGCACTGTGTTGTATGTTTGCACAGGATTCTTTACTCCGCTTGTCCAGTCTACTCAGCTGTAAATGAGTACGTGGTTGGGCAGTGCTTGAATTTGTTTATGCAAGCTGTGAGCACCTGAATGGCAGTATCGGCTGTATGCTCCCAAGGGAGGTGAGAACGATAGTGACAAAATAACCACGGATAATAATTTGTGAACCGCTTTGACCTACGAACTAGGTTGGGATAATAAATATATAAGCACCTCGAAATATCAGTATTTGTATTATATAAGACAAATATATATCCTCACCATTTATCGGTAAATAACTGTTTATACCTGCTAAAATTATAATTTAGCTTAATTTGATACAGTAAATAAAGGCTAAGTTTTTTTAACACCAACAGAATGAAAACTTATTTTACGAGCTTTCGAAACGTCTGTTTCCTTTGTCAATCAAGGAGTGTAAATAACCGATGTCTCGACTCTAAACTGCTGAAAACAACTCACTATGCCACAGTGTGCCGAATCAGTTATGTCAGCTTTCAAAAAATATAGAGATATTTTGCCCGATTTCACTCTTATACTTACAACTCACTTTGACATGTAGCGGGGGACGTTATGATATATGTGTTGTGTAGCGGGGGACGTTATGATATATGTGTTGTGTAGCGGGGGACGTTATGATATATGTGTTGTGTAGCGGGGGACGTTATGATATATGTGTTGTGTAGCGGGGGACGTTATGATATATGTGTTGTGTAGCGGGGGACGTTATGATATATGTGTTGTGTAGCGGGGGACGTTATGATATATGTGTTGTGTAGCGGGGGACGTTATGATATATGTGTGTTCATCGACAGTGTTAAGCTGGCATTGTAAGCTGACAGGGTAATAAGCTTATGTAAAAGGGGCGGTTTTCCACTTTAAAACCAACACCCAGGTTCGGTGATCTTGGGTCCATTGGGGTCTTATAAATTGATGAACATGAAGTATGGCAAATGAACATAGACTCAAGGATATAAACTTCAGTATCTTTTATTAAACTCAACAAGTGTAAAGAAATATCAGTACAATACACGATAACATATCTCACACCCTTACGCACACGATACAACACCGTTCATTACTACTAGTGGCTACGAGGCCTACTCCTATAAGGATAGACGACGGACTCTACGTTGGAATTCTATATAGACACGTGTACAGACTACTTTCTAACCCTAACACTAAACATTATTGCTGGTCCTACATTATTACCTAACGAGTCCTAGAAAGAAGGAGAGAAAGAGTGAGTCAGGCAGTCTTACGAGGACTTTACTTCTGACTGACGAGCTATAGAAAACCACCGCTTTATATAGACAGACACACGGCACTTTGCACGTGCAATAGCGCGCAAAAGCTACTCGGAGCACTTCCGGTTACGTAACTAGGTTCTGAATGTGAAAACAACAAGATGGACGACGAAACGTGGTGAACTGTCAATCGCAAATATCGAATGTTAAGTATCCGAATTATCTCCACTTTTACATTCCTCCCCCCTTAAGACAAATGTTCAAACATTTGTCAAAACCGACAAAATTTGAAAACTTGATCGCTTAAAGATTGTAATGAAAACCTCACTTCAAAAACTCACTCAGTACAGTGTACAATCACAGGCGAACTTTACAACCACATAGTACAACATGAAAAGTGCGATCAATCACACACATTTCTAAACCTCTGCCCATATAGTTCGAACTGAATATTGAACTTCAAGAAAAAATGCCATTTACATGAGGTAGACAATTATATACAACGACAAATATACTGATTCACTCCATAAACTATTAGTATCAAAAAAATAATGTCCACACATTCTTACATCGCTCATCTGCACAGGAGTAATATTCCATAGCAAAAATAAATAATAAATAATAATACACAAAATATGCACAATTTATCTGTATTACTCCAACAGTTACATTATATAGACATCTTCGGTTACGACATTTGCAAAATTAAGTCAACAATTTCTCTGGTACTTTACAATTAATTTACAAAAATATATAGATCCATTTCACAAAAATGTATTATGGGAAGAATTCATTACTGAATATATTCATGAATTCATTCAATATACAATACATGACAATTAAATACCCACTAAATTGAAAAACATTTCACATTAACACACACACTTAACAAAATAAATGAAATACAACATAACAGAATACCTTTCTGTTATCTTCATGACACACCACCCCCCAGAAACCTAACACAGTCGTTAGTCACAGTAACACATTTTTCATTCGCAATAAGATGTTATTTCAAGCATTAATTGGCATAGGCTACAACAGCAATACACAGATGGTATATATCATAATCTCAGTAACTCTCCAATCACACAAGAGCATAATCTACAGTGCCCAGTAAACTACCTTCTTATAGCAACTACTTCACCATGCCTCACACTTCAAGCATGGTAAGCCACTGTGTTTTTCCACTCCAAACACTATCTATGTGACTGATATCTCTACACAAACCACTACTATAAGAAAAGCAATCCCTAGTATTACATAATAACAATACAATAAAAAAATATAAGGAAAATGGGATAACAAAACAAACACTGCAATTATCTCGAGCTCTTTCGCATTACAGATTCCCTATGTATATCTACACAAACAATATACATGTACACAGAATCACCACCAAATGGCATACTACCCATAGTACCCAGTTTCTATAACTGCAGATCAAATTATATCCAAATTATAAAGTCTTTTAAGCTGTACCAGTGCAAGCAACACAAGGAAAACATCTTTAAACGGAAGTACATACTTGTTATATCAGGATATAGATCACACTGATCACATTTGTACTTTGTGCAACACAGAATAAATGTAATACAACACTAATCTATCTTTCTGTGTTTTTACTTCAAGATTCTATGAACAGTATCTGGGTGGAGACTTTATCATCATGTCTTCTCTAGTTTGCTGCGGAGTTATCTCCCCTGGACTACTATTGTCGTTTTTGCAACTTGACACTTAGGTTCAAAACAGAGAGATTTATCTCTTTTCCTGGCGGCGTCTACGTAGCACACTAACCACCATTAGTCCCTGTTTAGCTATGAATGTATTTGGTTCTACAATACCCTCTGCACTATCCATAGCACCTTATATATAACCCTTAAAATGACACTCAGAGTTAGCTGGTACGGAGACAGTCTCACACACCCTTATTCGGGCACAACCTTTAATTTGTACCCTTCTGTAACTAGGTTGACACACTGACCCTCTAACCTAAGAGTCCTGTCCCTAAAATGGATTTCTTCTCCATGTTTAACCAGGAAATCTACACCTAGAATCCCTGATAATTGGTCCAACCTAGGCACTATAGCCTCCTGTTCGTACACTAATTTGCCCACTTTAAATCTAAAGTTGGCTTTACCAGCCACCACTACTTGTCACCCGAGGCATGCGCAGAGTACAGCATAATACCACTGCTTGTTAATTCTGGTCTATTACCCTAGGGCATAGCATTATACATTTCCTTAGTAACTATGTTACAGCTGATCCAGAATCTACAAGATACCCTAAACCTTTACTCCTAGTAAACACACCTGAATCACGTTCATTCGCCATTACTTCCAACTTTAAATTCTACAATTATTTTTACACAAAATTCGAAAATGACCCAAATGGGTTGCCAAGATCCTGGTCAGTACGGCACCAGTGTAAAAGGGGCGGTTTTCCACTTTAAAACCAACATCCAGGTTCGGTGAACTTGGGTCCATTGGGGTCTTATAAATTGATGAACATGAAGTATGGCAAATGAACATAGACTCAAGGATATAAACTTCAGTATCTTTTATTAAACACAACAAGTGTAAAGAAATATCAGTACAATACACGATAACATATCTCACACCCTTACGCACACGATACAACACCGTTCATTACTACTAGTGGCTACGAGGCCTACTCCTATAAGGATAGACGACGGACTCTACGTTGGAATTCTATATAGACACGTGTACAGACTACTTTCTAACCCTAACACTAAACATTATTGCTGGTCCTACATTATTACCTAACGAGTCCTAGAAAGAAGGAGAGAAAGAGTGAGTCAGGCAGTCTTACGAGGACTTTACTTCTGACTGACGAGCTATAGAAAACCACCGCTTTATATAGACAGACACACGGCACTTTGCACGTGCAATAGCGCGCAAAAGCTACTCGGAGCACTTCCGGTTACGTAACTAGGTTCTGAATGTGAAAACAACAAGATGGACGACGAAACGTGGTGAACTGTCAATCGCAAATATCGAATGTTAAGTATCCGAATTATCTCCACTTTTACACTTAATTCTACGGCATTTCTGTATGTTGTGTCTGTACTATGTATACCTGTGTCACCCTGACCTTTGTTTTTTTCTCTGTTCACGTGTCATGTCTGAGGTCGATATTTTTGTCATGTATTTTCCGTAGTCGCTTGCTCTTTCGTCAGTGTCCTCTGTGAATCCTCTGTTGTGAGTGGTCCTTTAACTTCGTATGGTCAAATGTTGGATAAATTCAGAATGGTATATCGTACACGAGGCAGTCGGATGGATTAGGTTCCTGTGCGCTGTGTGCACATCTTATCGTCAGATATATTTAGGGTTTGTTTAGGATTTTTACATAGGGACTTTGTCGGGATGCGGGGTGAGTTTTAGTTTCGAATTATAGCTAGGTCGTAGATAGTACGGGGTCAGTCTTCACAAGTATTCGTTATATTAGCAAGGCCTAGGATATTGTAATTGTTTTCTATTTATCTTATGTTGTAAAAAATAAATTGTTAATTGTATATCAAGCGTTTGTTTTCCCTCTAAGACATTAACATGTTAACCATCGAACCTGGGTTGGTCTGCAGGGAGAGTCGGGTGCAGTTTGACGTACTGACAAACCGGGCCCAACACGCTCCTGTTACAAACATCTTAGATCGATTTCAAAGGATACTCATGACGAACGATTTTCTTGTTGACTCCTTCTGCCTGTTTAAACGTTCGGACTGACACAATACAATAAATAAGACATTTCAGACCATGGAAATGTACACAATCACAGCATAGACTGGAACAAACCGAAAGCGCTTGAATGAAAAGACAACTGGACAGTCAGAAAAATAAAATAATTTATCTATGTAATGAAGGAAAGGGATTCGATGAACAGAGACGGAGGGGCCTATTCACCCAATATCAACATCCAATAAGAGTGCAATTGGGCCACTGTGGCTGCGTGAGTTGTTTTCGGTGGTTTAGAGCCGAGACACCATGTATGGATATTTTATGGTCGACAAAGAAAACAGAAAGCTCGCAAAGTAAGTTTTCCATTCCTGTTTGTGTTTATTCACACCAAACTGATGAACGTTTTTCTGAATAATTTGAATATGTTAAGCGTACTAAATTAAATGAAACAGTATGCATAATACGTGCTATTTACATTTTAAGAACAAACAATTCTTTACTTTTAGGTCATCCACACAAGTGACATTTAACACAGGTTTCAAGGAGATCAACGGAGGATCTTCGGATGAGGACAGCAACGCAGAAAAAAGGATTGAACCGAACCGAAAGTAAGCTTCTGAAATAGTGTGACAATGTGTTCGTCTGTTATCTAGTCAACGTCCCACGTTAGATAATTGTTTTCTAGTTCACGTCACTCATTAGGTAAATGTTATCTAGTTAACGTCCTACGTTATGTAACAATTATCTTGATCACGTCCAGCGTTAGGTAACTGTAATAGAGTCCACATCCCACCTTAGATACATTTTGTCTTGTTTACGTCCCACGTTTGATAACTGTTTTATTGTCAACGTCCAACGTTATATAACAAGTATCTAGTTCACGTCCCTCGTTATGTAAAAATTATCTAGTCCACGTCCCACGTTAGGTCAATTTTATCTAGTCCAAGTCCCATACTACGTAAATATGATATAGTCAACATCCAGTCCGCATCAGATCAGCGCTATTACAAGGAGGCAATAACACAAATATATCCTGTCTCCGAAATACATATACATGCACGCTGCACATCTCACATGAAGGCACGTTCTTAAATGACCTTAGTTGTTAATGGGACTTTCAACAAAATAAAACTTAACCAAGCCCACGTTTCACACCAATAAGTTTTACGATTTCAGAGGAAAAGAAATCAATATTGGTTGTCTCCGCTGAGGGTACATGTACTGGTTGTCTCCCCTCAGTGTACATATGCCGGTCACTCCCCTTAGTATATAGGTACCAGTTTTCTCCTCTAAGTACTTGTTATTACCCTTTAATCAGTAGTTACCGGTAATCTCCCCTAATTGTACAAGTACTGATAGTGCCATCTCAGTGTACAGGTACTGGTAGTGCATGTAGTGTACATGTACTGGTAGTGCCACCTCAGTGTACAGGTATTGGTAGTGCCACATTAATGTACAAGTACTGGTAGTGCCATCTCAGTGTACAGGTACTGGTAGTGCCTGTAGTGTACATGTACTGGTAGTGCCACCTAAGTGTACAAGTACTGGTAGTGCCACCTAAGTGTACAGGTACTGGTAGTGCCTGAAGTGTACAGGTATTGGTAGTGCCACCTCAGTGTACAGGTACTGGTATTGCCACATCAGTGTACAGGTACTGGTAGTGCCACCTGAGTGTACAAGTATTGGTAGTGCCTGTAGTGTACATGTACTGGTAGTGCCATCTCAGTGTACATGTACTGGTAGTTCCACTTCAGTGTACATGTACTGGTAGTGCCTGTAGTGTATATGTACTGGTAGTGCCACCTCAGTGTACAGGTACTGGTAGTGCCACCTCAGTGTACAGGTACTGGAAATTCCCTCAGTGTACATGTATTGGTAGTTCCTCAGTGTTCAGATATTGGTGGTGACTGTAGTGTACATGTACTGGTAGTGCCACCTCAGTGTACAGGTACTGGTAGTGTCTGTAGTGTACATGTACTGGTAGTGCCACCTAAGTGTACAGGTTCTGATAGTGCCTGTAGTGTACATGTACTGGTAGTGCCACCTCAGTGTACAGGTATTGGTAGTGACTGTAGTGTACATGTACTGGTAGTGCCACCTCAGTGTACAGGTACTGGTAGTGCCACATCAGTGTACAGGTACTGGTAGTGCCACCTCAGTGTACAGGTACTGGTAATGCCACCTCAGTGTACAAGTACTAGTAGTGCTTGTAGTGTAAATGTACTGGTAGTGCCACCTCAGTGTACAGGTACTGGTAGTGCCACCTCAGTGTACAGGTACTGGAAGTTCCCTCAGTGTACATGTATTGGTAGTACCTCAGTGTTCAGGTACTGGTGGTGCCACCAAAGTGTACAGGTACTGGTAGTGCCACCAAAGTGTACATGTAATGGTAGTGCAACCTAAATGTACAGGTGCTGGTAGTGCCTCCTACTTGTACAGGTACTGGCATTTCCCTCAGTGTACAGGTACGGTAGTGCAACCTAGGTGTACAGGTACTGGTTGTGCCATCTAAGTGTATCTGTGCTGGTAGTGCCTCCTACGTGTACAGGTACTGGCATTTCCCTCAGCGTACAGGTACGGTAGTGCAACCTAGGTGTACAGGTACTGGCATTTCCCTCAGTGTACAGGTACGGTTGTGCAACCTAGGTGTACAGGTACTGGTAGTGCCTCCTACGTGTACAGGTACTGGTATTTCCCTCAGTGTACAGGTATGGTAGTGCAACCTTAATGTACAGGTACTGGTAGTGCCATCTAAGTGTACATGTGCTGGTAGTGCCTCCTACGTGTACAGGTACTGGCATTTCCCTCAGTGTACAGGTACGGTAGTGCAACCTAGGTGTTCAGGTACTGGCATTTTCCTCAGTGTACAGGTACTGGTAGTGCCTCTAAGTGTACAGGTTCTGATAGTTCCCTAATTGTGCAAGTACCGGTTGTGTCCTTTACGTCTTAAAGTACCAGTTGTGTCCCTTCGCTTTGGCACTTACACACTGGGATACAGTATGACTAGTGTAAAGGACTGTTTAGAGACGTCTACATCATACATGTATGTCAGATCTATATATATATTTATTTTTCAATAATGATAATTCAAAACATATAAAGCAATGTTATAATGAGCAATAACCCCTTTTGATTTATTTCTACATATGTTTTGAAACACATTTGACTTGGGCTAATTATTATTGAAGAATTGGTTCCATGATTTACTTTTACCATGAAAACTTACTATTGAAACAGGTGCTTCCTTATTCGTATTTCTAGTTATTATTTTTCCTCGGCAGCATTACTTTTATTGTGTGGTTTCTTGATTTGGCGTCTGCTCTGAAATGTATTTTTAAATATTTCACATTTATTTTCAAAACGTCATAGCAATCTTGATATGGAGGTTATAGCGAAACCAGCTGACATCAGATTCAATAGGTAACGTTATCTCTTACAATGAATTATTTTACGTGGAATCTAACTGCTAAGTTGAAACCCTTAGCGATTACATGTTCTTGGTCTGGTCGTTTGTCAACCGGTATCTGCTGACATGTTTAGCTGAGTGACAGATATGTCAAAACTATCTTTCCCTTCTTTCCTTCACATGTTATAAATCTTTTTGTGTTGTCGTTAATTACATTTGGTGTATTCGGTACTGTTTGTAGATGTGAAGTACATGCAAGCCCTGGCCTGGTCGTCAGCTGTGTATTTGTCCAACATGGTCGACAATTTTGTTTTACAATATTTAAACAATAAATGTTGTTGTTTATGATGCTTACGTTTTTTCTTAATAACTGTTGTGCTGATTTGTGTATGATGTTAAGAGCACTTATTGATAGAGCAGTACATTTGTAGTGAGGCTTGAACTTACTCCTCACTAATATATCTAAGGGTGAATTTTAAACGATTCTCATGTCGAGCGACTTCTTGTTGAATCGTTCTGCCTGTTTTAACGTTCAGACTGATACAATGCAATTAATAAGACATTACAGACCAGGGAAATGTACACAATCACAGCATACACCTGAACCAATTAAAAGTGCTTGAACGGGAGGACAACTGGACAGTCAGGAAATTCAAAGAATCTATCTATAAGAAAGGGGATTCGATGAACAGAGACGAATGGGCCCTTTTACCGAATATTAACATCCAATAAGGGGCGGAATAGGAATAAATTAATACTCGACCCCCTTACTGCCTGTAGTATTAGAGTGCAATTTGGCAAAATGTCTCTATATTTTTTGACAACTGACTTTACTGAGTCGGCACACTGTGGCTTCGTGAGTTGTTTTCAGTGGTTTAGAGTCGAAAAACCAGTTATGTATATTTTATGCTCGACAAAGAAAACAGAAAGCCCGCAAAGTAAGTTTTCCATTACTGTTTGTGTTCAGAACAAAATTAGCTTTTATTATTTACACCAAACTGACGAACGTTTTTCTGAATAATTTGAATCCAATGAATCGTTATGTGTTATACGTGACATTTACATTTTAAGAACCAACAATTCTTTACGTTTAGGTCATCCACACAAGTGACATTTAACACAGGCTTCAAGAAGATCAACGGAGGATCTTCGGATGAGGACAGCAACGCAGAAAAAAGGATTGAACCGAACCAAAAGTAAGCTCCTGAAATAGTGTGACAATGTGTTCGTACACTTTGTATATTTTGAGATAACTTTTATTCAGTTCACGTCTCTCGTTAGTGTCTGTTATCTAGTACACATCCCACGTTAGATAATTGTGTTCTAGTTCACGTCACTCATTAGATAAGTGTTATCTAGCAAACGTCCCACGTTATGTAACAACTATCTTGATCAAGTCCAACGTAGGTAACTGTTATCTAGTTCACGTCTCTCGTTAGGTGACTGTTATTTAGTCCAAGTTCCACATTGGATAACTTTTGGCTTGTTTACGGCTCTCGTTAGAAAACTGTTTTGTAGTACACGTCCCACGTTATGTTACAATTATATAAACCACGTCCCACGTAAGGTCAATTTTATCTAGTCCAAGTACCTTGCTAGGTAAATAATATATATAGTCAACATCCAGTCGGCATCAGATAAGCGCTATTACAAGGAGGCAAAAGCACAAAAATATCCTGTCTACAGTATACATATACATGCACGCTGCACATCACACATGGATGCATTCCTTAAATGGCCTGAGTTGTTATTAGGAATTTCAACAAAATAAAACTAAACTGTCTCCCCTATTTGTACAGGTACTGTTAGCACCCCTGAGTGTAGAGGTACTGGTAGTGTCCCCTAATTGTTCCCACTTCATGTACAGGTATCGGTTTTCTCCAATAATTGAACAGTTACTGGTTGTGGCCCCTAAGTTAACAGGTACGGATAGTGCCCCTTACGTGTACCTCTCCTTTAATGTACAGTTACTATTTATATCCCCTTATTGCACATTTACTGGTAGTTCCCTCAGCGAAATGTTACCGACGTGTTAACAGGTACTGGTAGTTCCCTCAGTGTACTGTTACCGACTTGTTAACATGTACTGGTAGTTCCCTCAGTGTACTTTTACCGACTTGATAATAGGTACTGGTAGTTCCCTCAGTGTACTGTTACCGACATGTAAACAAGTACTGGTAGTTCCCTCAGTGTACTGTTACCGACTTGTTAACAGGTACTGGTAGTTCCCTCAGTGTACTGTTACCGACGTGTTAACAGGTACTGGTAGTTCCCTCAGTGTACTGCTACCGACTTGTTAACATGTACTGGTAGTTTCCTCAGTGTACTGTTACCGACTTGTTAATAGGTACGTACTGGTAGTTCCCTCAGTGTACTGTTACCGACATGTTAACAGGCACTCGTAGTTCCTTCAGTGTTCTGTTACCGACATGTTAACAGGTACTGGTAGTTCCTTCAGTGTTCTGTTACCGACATGTTAACAGGTACTGGTAGTTCCCTCAGTGTCCTGTTACCGACATGTTAACAGGTACTGGTAGTTCCTGCAGTGTACTGTTACCGACGTGTTAACAGGAACTGGTAGTTCCCTCAGTGTACTGTTACCGACATGTTAACCGGAGTGTACTGTTACCGACATGTTAACAGGTACTCGTAGTTCCCTCAGTGTACTGTTACCGACATGTTAACAGGTACTCGTAGTTCCTTCAGTGTTCTGTTACCGACATGTTAACAGGTACTCGTAGTTCCTGCAGTGTACTGTTACCGACGTGTTAACAGGTACTCGTAGTTTCCTCAGTGTACTGTTACCGACATGTTAACCGGTACTGGTAGTTCCCTCAGTGTACTGTTACCGACATGTTAACAGGTACTGGTAGTTTCCTCAGTGTACTGTTACCGACGTGTTAACAGGGACTGGTAGTTCCCTCAGTGTTCTGTTACCGACATGTTAACAGGTACTCGTAGTTTCCTCAGTGTTCTGTTACCGACATGTTAACCGGTACTGGTAGTTCCCTCAGTGTACTGTTACCGACTTGTTAACATGTACTGGTAGTTCCCTCAGTGTTCTGATACCGACTTGTTAACATGTACTGGTAGTTCCCTCAGTGTACTGTTACCGTGGTGTTAACAGGTACTGGTAGTTCCCTCAGTGTTCTGTTACCGACATGTTAACATGTACTGGTAGTTCCCTCAGTGTTCTGATACCGACTTGTTAACATGTACTGGTAGTTCCCTCGGTGTACTGTTAGCGACTTGTTAACAGGTACTGGTAGTTCCCTCAGTGTCCTGTTACCGACGTGTTAACAGGTACTGGTAGTTCCCTCGGTGTACTGTTACCGACTTGTTAACAGGTACTGGTAGTTCCCTCAGTATTCTGTTCCCGACATGTTAACATGTACTGGTAGTTCCCTCGGTGTACTGTTAGCGACTTGTTAACAGGTACTGGTAGTTCCCTCAGTGTCCTGTTACCGACGTGTTAACAGGTACTGGTAGTTCCCTCGGTGTACTGTTACCGACTTGTTAACAGGTACTGGTAGTTCCCTCTGTGTACTGTTACCGACTTGTAAACAGGTACTGGTAGTTCCCTCAGTGTACTGTTATCGACATGTTAACAGGTACTGGTAGTTCCCTCAGTGTACTGTTACCGACTTGTTAACATGTACTTGTAGTTCCCTCAGTATTCTGTTACCGACATGTTAACAGGTACTGGTAGTTCCCTCAGTGTACTGTTACCGACGTGTTAACATGTACTTGTAGTTCCCTCAGTATTTTGTTACCGACATGTTAACAGGTACTGGTAGTGCCCTCAGTGTACTGTTACCGACGTGTTAACAGGTACTGGTAGTTCCCGCAGTGTACTGTTACCGACGTGTTAACAGGTACTGGTCGTTCCCTCGGTGTACTGTTACCGACGTGTTAACATGTACTGGTAGTTCCCTCAGTGTTCTGTTACCGACTTGTTAATAGGTACTGGTAGTTCCCTCAGTGTACTGTTACTGACGTGTTAACAGGTACTGGTAGTTCCCTCGGTGTACTGTTACCGACGTGTTAACAGGTACTGGTCGTTCCCGCGATGTACTGTTACCGACGTGTTAACATGTACTGGTCGTTCCCTCGGTGTACTGTTACCGACGTTTTAACATGTTCTGGTAGTTCCCTCAGTGTTCTGTTACCGACGTGTTAACAGGTACTGGTAGTTCCCTCGGTGTACTGTTACCGACGTGTTAACAGGTACTGGTAGTTCCCTTAGTATTCTGTTACCGACATGTTAACATATACTGGTAGTTCCATCAGTGTACTGTTACCGACTTGTTAACATGTACTGGTAGTTTCCTCAGTGTACTGTTACCGACTTGTTAATAGGTACTGGTAGTTCCCTAAGTGTACTGTTACCGACATGTTAACAGGTACTCGTAGTTCCCGCAGTGTACTGTTACCGACATGTTAACCGGTACTGGTAGTTCCCTCAGTGTACTGTTACAGACGTGTTCACAGGTACTGGTAGTTCCCTCAGTGTACTGTTACCGACATGTTAACCAGTACTGGTAGTTCCCTCAGTGTACTGTTACCGACTTGTTAATAGGTACTGGTAGTTCCCTAAGTGTCCTGTTACCGACATGTTAACAGGTACTCGTAGTTCCCGCAGTGTACTGTTACCACTGGTAGTTCCATCAGTGTACTGTTACCGACTTGTTAACGTTACCGACGTGTTAACAGGTACTGGTAGTTCCCTCGGTGTACTGTTACCGACTTGTTAACAGGTACTGGTAGTTCCCTCAGTGTTCTGTTACCGACGTGTTAACATGTACTGGTAGATCCCTTAGTGTACAAGTACTGGTATTGCCACCTAAGTATACATGGACTGGTATTGCCGCCTAAGAGTACATGTACTGGTATTGCCACCCAAGTATACAGGTACTGGTATTGCCGCCTAAGAGTACATGTACTGGTATTGCCACATAAGAGTACATGTACTGGTATTGCCACATAAGTATACAGGTACTGGTATTGCCGCCTAAGAGTACATGTACTGGTATTGCCGCCTAAGTGTACATGTACTGGTATTGCCACCTAAGTATACAGGTACTGGTATTGCCGCCTAAGAGTACATGTACTGGTATTGCCACCAACGTATACAGGTACTGGTAGTGCCGCCTAAGTGTGCATGTTCTGGTATTGCCACCTAAGTATACAGGTACTGTTATTGCCGCCTAAGAGTACATGTACTGGTATTGCCACCTAAGTGTACAGGTACTGGACTTAACACCTAAGTGTACATGTAATGCCCTTTCACGCATTTTACAGGTACTGATTGTGTCCCCTACGTCCTAAGGTACCGATAGTGTCATTTTGCTTTGGCACTTACACACCAGGATACAGTATGACCAGTTTAAAACACTGTTTAGAGATAAACGTCTACACCATATATCAGATAGATATATACATTTTTTTTTTTAATTATGGTAATTCAAAGGGTAAAAAGTAATGCTATAATGGTCAAAAAACCCTTTTAAATTATTTCTCCATATGTTTTGAAACACATTTGACTTAGGCTTATTATTTTTGAACCATTAGTTGTATGATTGATAAACTAACTATTTGAATAGGTGCTTCCTAGTTCGTATTTCATTTTTTTTCTCCCTTAGCAGTATAACTTCTATTGTGTGGTTTCTTGATTTGGTGTCTTCTATGAAATGTATTTTTAAATATTTCACATTTATTTTCAAGACGTCATAGCATTCCTGATATGGAGGTTATAGCGGAACCAGCTGACATCAGACTCAACAGGTAATGTTAGTTCTTACAATATTTGTTGTTATACTTGTAATCTAAGAATATAGATTGTTATACCTATTTGCTTGTTAAACCAGGAAACATAACATAAGTCATTTTTGAATGGTTACTTATTTACTAATAACTTTTCATTTTTCTCAGTCTTATATGATATGATATATTGTATTAAATGCATTAATATATTGTATATGCTTCGTATTATACATATTACATATGCTTCATGAGCAACAAGAAATCTCGATATCCAGGTCATCAACACAAGTGGAATTCAACACAGGCTTCGAAGACACTCAAGCAGAAACATCATATGAAGATAGTTTCACAGAGGAATTGTTGGAACCAGACGAGGTGTAAGTAAACTGTCGTGATCTGGGCTCTTTTATAAAACCTATCCCATCACACTTTTCCATACAACAGACGAATTGTTAACAAATCATGTTACTTAATACAGAGTACATAGCGTTTGTTTAATGTAATCACATTACTATTATTACTTATAACTCAGGGAACCATTAGAAATACTGCCCGATAACGACACAGATGACTCAAATTTGTCTTATGGGGATGATTTCCACACAAGGTAAGACAGATACTTATACTATTCACACAAAACAAATGCATCATATAGTTACCGGAAGAAATGTTAAATGGTAAATATTATTGAAACAAAAGTATCAAAGTGAAATTACAAAAGTCTACCTCGATTATATTTCAATCCTTGTCTAGCAATATCCTATTGTTGGAAATGCTAATTATTTGCTTTTGTGATGCAGTTCAGACTCCGATGTCACCGATACATCTGAGGAATCTGGTCCTGAAAGGTGAGTGATTGGATGGCTGTACGGGGGAGACTATTGATAACTTCTCGTTTATGTGATAACGCTTGCTAATACACGTATAAACGTAACTTTAAATGGTGAAGATATGTACTAATTGTGTAGATGTAGATAACAAATGAGTTGAATGGCTTAAATTCAATCATAACAACATCCGCTTAACTGTTTTGTTTGTGGTGAACATATTTTGCACAAAAGTTATTGGTAAAGTCTCTCACAGGAAGCAACCGATATTATGTTACGCATTAACACTGCAGTGTCACTGGTTCCATTGAGTTGGCTAACCTCTTGTTTAAGTGTGACCAGGACTTTTGTCATATTTAGCGTTGGAGATATTTCGGGGCGCCTATTAGGATCAGACTATATTTATTTTTTATTTTTGATGTTGTTCCTGTTGCATGGGATGTCTCTTCAGTAATTGTTGGGGGTTTATTTTGAAAAGCTTATTTCTATTTTTTTATTTTTCCCTTTTGTGTTGACAAAGTAGTACATTTTTCTAGATAACCAATTTTTGATCCACCATTTTAAAGATGTCTACCAAGTATTTTCTTGAATACCTTTTCAGGTATCCAATGATTGAAGAGAACCTTGACAATGGAATATTTGTCAGATTTCCGGAAAATCATAAATTCAAAGTTCCATACATATGTCGGTATCTGCAACTTCACACCAGAACCACACAGTTGGCGGAACTGAGAGAGGCACTTGCAGGATCAAAATTAATAACAGATATGTTTGGAGTATATCTGAAGTCTACTAGCGAAGAAGAGGACAATTTGGTCTCTTTACCATTCGTAGACAATTGTGCAGGTGAAATACGCATCTCCGTAGCTGTTAAAGCCAAACGTTCGCCACACTTTAAGTACTCTGCTCATCTCAGAAGAAATGGAGATTGGGTGAAAGTGCCCGTACAAATGAAGGTGAGAATTTAATTAGAATGAAAGGATTCGCAAATTATACACATGTCGGCTCTTCGTACACAACATTTTGTTAAAATCATGTGTCTTACATGATGCAGAATTATCTGGATACATATCACTCTGGAAACTTAGGTCTATAATTAGGGTTTAGATGATGTCTTCATTTTGTACAAAAAATACTTAATATAAGTTTTTCCCCTCGGGAAGTTTAAATAAGTCAGACCGATATTAAAGATAAGTAAAGGAATTCTAATTTGTGGCCTTGTTGAAGGTTACACCTTGAAAAACAAGTTCAAATAATCTTATATTTTACTAGTGTATGAAGTGTGAGCAAATTTTATCCAGATAAAGTTGCGAGGATGACGAAAGCAAAGCGTACCTACCAGAAGTTACAGCTTTGACCTTGAACGCTAACATTTGACCCAACAGCAGTATCCCTTTGCAATGGTTAGTCATTCTATGGAGCTTTTTATTACCATTGGTAATGATTGTATTAGCAGAGCAAAAAAAGTCAATAATCTCGATCACAAGGAAACCATATCTTTTCCCCACTTGATTATTATATGTATATATGATTGTAAGTGTTTTTTGTAACACTTCCCTATTCCGTTTCTTTGCTTTATTTATATAGGGTGATATTGCAGAATGCGAAGGAGGTGCCTTTGATATTCTTTTTTTGGCATCTGAACCAATCATTGAAAGATTCATATTAGGCCCAGAGGGAAAGGAATTTATCTCAGAACAAGACAACAAGATCAAGCTATCTTTTCCACGTAACTGTGTCAGGGAAACGGAAATCTTACACGTTCAGGTGAAAACATTTATATTCGATAAATGTATGAAAACACATTTCGTTATGCTGGTATGATTTCCTAAACGTTTGTTTGCTCTTAAATTACGCTATTTTAATCCAGTATTGTTCTTCTATACGCATACGTTATCTATATATTCTTTCATCAAATATATATATATATTAACAGATAATCCCCTCAAGCAATGATGGCCCGATCTGCATGGATGATCAACCCTGCATTATTGGTGCAACCAAATCCATACTTGTACAACATAGAAAGGGAATATTCAAGAAGTCAATTGAGATGAATCTTGAACTCTGTCTTTTTGACGACTCCACTGACCCGGATTTGACAAAATACAACTTTGTTGATGTGCATGCTGTCAACAAGCAGGAAGAAAACATAACAATGCGCAAGCTCCCATTGCAGAGTTACACACAAAACGGAAACGATTTTTCTCTGTGTATAAAAGTCGACGACTTTGAAAGGTATTTTAATACGAAAAACTATTCAGTCAAAACATTATAATAATAAAAATGAATTGCTGATCGTAATAGACGCATGCTATTAGATAAGAGTTGTCTCTTGGAAATTCTGAATTCTATACAGGCTCAGCAATGCATTTGGGAACAACAAAGGTTCACCTCAATCTTTATGTCAATCCCTTCGAAACTTAATCTACTTTTTTTTTGTATACGATTAACTTAATTTCCAAAATTTGCACCCCACTGTTGTTAGAGACTCAACGACCGATAACGTGTAATTGTTCGTTACTCACAGTACTGTAGTTAGTGACATCAAGACAGATAACGTGTTAGTGTTCGTTACTCACAGTACTGTTGTTAGTGACACCAAGACAGATAACGTGTTAGTGTCCGTTACTCACAGTACTGTTGTTAGTGACACCAAGACAGANCAGTACTGTTGTTAGTGACACCAAGACAGATAACGTGTTAGTGTCCGTTACTCACAGTACTGTAGTTAGTGATACCAAGACAGATAACGTGTACGTGTACGTTACTCACAGTACTGTAGTTAGTGACACCAAGACAGATAACGTGTTAGTGTTTGTTACCCACAGTACTGTAGTTAGTGACACCAAGACAGATAACGTGTTGTTAGTGTTCGTTTCTTACAGTACTGTTGTTAGTGTCACAAAGACAAATAGCGTGGACGTGTTCGTTACTCACAGTACTGTTGTTAGTGACAACAAGACAGATAACGTGTAAGTGTTCGTTACTCACAGTACTGTAGTTAGTGACAACAAGACAGATAACGTATAAGTGTCAGTTACTCACAGTACTGTTGTAAGTGACACCAAGACAGATAACGTGTTAGTGTTCGTTACTCACAGTACTGTTGTTAGTGACACCAAGACAGATAATGTATAAGTGTCCGTTACTCACATTACTGTTGTTAGTGACACCAAGACAAAAAGCGTGTAAGTGTTCGTTACTCACAGTACTGAAGTTAGTGACAACAAGACAGATAACGTATAAGTGTTCGTTACTCACAGTACTGTTGTTAGTGACACCAAGACAGATAACGTGTTAGTGTTCATTACTCACAGTACTGTTGAGATAACGTGTTAGTGTTCGTTACTCACAGTCCTGTTATTAGTCACACCAAGACAGATAACGTATTAGTGTTCATTACTCACAGTACTGTTGTTAGTGACACCAAGACAGATAGCGTGTTAGTGTTCGTTACTCACAGTACTGTTGTAAGTGACACCAAGACAGATAACGTGTTAGTGTTCGTTACTCACAGTACTGTTATTAGTCACACCAAGACAGATAACGTGTTAGTGTTCATTACTCACAGTACTGTTGTTAATGACACCAAGACAGATAACGTAT